CAAAGACACAAAGAGCAGGAGGAAGTGAGCCAGATCTTCAACAGAAAGAAGTGGAACAGGAAAGCAAAGACGCCTGGTGTGCAGCTCCCACTGAAGAGCAAAAGCACCAGGGCTGAAGACAGACCAAGTGAGACTGTAGTACCGGTCAGCACGTGTGTGGGCTGGGCGCAGGCCAAGCTGGGCTAGGGTGCAACACCAGTCCATGAGAGCCGAGACTGGAAGTGGGCCTAACAAGGCTCGGTCAAAGCAGCCAGAGCAGCCACCAGCACACACAAGATCCAGGGCTGGAGGGAGGAACTCTGGAGGCTCCCCTGCTAGGCTGCAGATCATGGGCTCTGGGTGGACCGGACTGGGCAAGGCTGCATCATGTGTGTAGACTGGGTCTAGGGCCAGGTCAGACTTGGCTAGATCCCAGGACCTGCTGATGCTCACATGACAGAATGGATGGGCTGGGGATGGCCATGGCATTGGCCAGTTTACCTGAGAGCCAGGTCTGGGGGTGGGCCAGGCTAAGCCAGGCTGCAGCACCATCAGGAGAGCCAGAATGGTTGCAAGCCAGTCAGGGTAGACCACAGTACCCACAGGAGAGTACCAGGACTGGGAGCAGACCATGTTAGGCTGGACCACAGTAATGCCAGCTTACATAAGATCCAGAGCTGGGGGGTGGGCCTGGCAAGGGGATCAGGGTAACTCCCCTGCTATGCTGAGTTTCTGCTGGAGAGTTCAAGAGTCAGGGCTAGAGGCAGGCCAGGCTAGGTCAAGTCAGGCTGCAGTAACCATGAGCATACATGTGGGCAAGGTATGGGAGCAGGTCAGGCAGGGCCAGTCCATATACACGTTGGTACCAGCAACAACCAGGATGGGCCAAGTCAAGCCTTTGCTTACATGAGGACCAGAGCTGAGGCTAGGCCAGCATGGATTAGGCTGTTGTACCTTCCATCAAGAAATAGGACTGGGGGTAGGCCAAACTAACCCAGGCTGTAGCACCTGCTAGAGAATGCAGAGATTGGCATCTGGTCATGACTGGAATACAGCACCCGCGAGCATGCCAACACCTGGGGCTGGGAGCAAGCCTGGCAGGGAAACTTCAAGGATCTCCCTGTCAGGCTGCTTCTTCCACTGGTGTGCAAGAGTGGGACTGGAGGACAAGCCTAGCGGCTAAATCCTTGCCTTGCATGCACCAGGACCCCCTATGGGAACCGGTTGCTATCCTGGCTGATTCACTTCCCATCCAGCTCCCTGCTTGTGGCCTGGGTCAGCATTAGAGGATGGCCCAAAGTCTTGGGCTCCTGAACTCACCTGGAGCACCGGCTCCTGGCTTCGGATCGGCTTATCTCTAGCTACTGTGGCCACCTGGGGAGTTAAACCAGTGGACAGGAGATTGTCCTCCCTGTCTCTCCTTCTCTGTATATCTGCCGTTCCAATAAAAAAAATAAATAAATTATTTTAAAAACAACAACCATTCAGAACTACCAAAACGGTTTCCGGGACAGTAGCCTAATGGCTAAAGTCCTCACCTTGCACATACAGGGATGCCATATGGATGCCAGTTCTAATCCTGGCAGCCCTGCTTCCCATCTAGCACCCTGCTTGTGGCCTGGGAAAGCAGTCCAAGACGGCCCAAAGCCTTGGGACCCTGCACCCGCATGGGAGACCCAGAGGAGGCTCCTGACTCCTGGGTTCAGATCGGCACATCTCTAGCCATTATGGTCACTTGGGGAGTGAGTCACAGGACAGAAGATCTTCTTCTCTGTCTTCCCTCCTCTCTGTATATCTGTTTTCTAATAAAAACACATCAGTCTTTAAAAAAAAGAGGGGGTCTGGCACAGTAGCCTAGTGGCTAGTGTTCGCCTTTAATGCGCCAGGATCCCATATGGATGCCGGTTCTAATCCTGGCAACTCCACTTCCCATCCAGCTCCCTGCTTGAGACCTGGGAAAGCAGTGGAGGACGGCCCAAAGCCTTGGGATCTTTCACCTGCGTTGGAAAACTGGATGAGGCTCCTGGCTCCTGATCCGTGCAGCACCAGTCGTTGTGGTCACTTGGGGAGTGAATCATCAGATGGAAGATCTTCCTCTCTGTCTCTCCTCCTCTCTGTATATCTGACTTTGCAATCAAAATAAAATAAATTGAAAAAAAGAAAGAAAGAAAGAAAGAAAAGAACAGAACAGAACTACCAAAACCACTCAAGTAACACCCTCTGAACATTGTTCTCCCCTGGGTGCTGATGTAGTGTGACGGCAAGGAGCTGCTGCTTCGCCTCCCTCACCCTGAGGACACAGGAGAAAAAAAGCAAAAGGAACTGAAACATTTGTCCCACTCCCCTTCCTCCATACCTGACCCACCCCCACTAATCAGAGGCCCACATGGGCATGCATGCTCTCAACTACATACAGTGTTTACAAATAAATAAACAAATCTCGGAGTAATGATGCAGATAGGGGACACAGGGCTATGGGTGCCGAGTGGAAGCCCTGTAGCTCTTAAGAGGTATCCACCAGAGGAGACAGAGTTGTAAAGCCAGGCTAGGCAAGCCCTTCTTTCCTAATCAGCAGGGTGTAGGGGCCCACACCCTTCAGCAGCCCTGAGTTAAGGGTCAGAACTGACCATCTAAGTCATTCGTAATGGGCTAGCGATCCTGAACTGCTAAGCCATGTGGACTGTCCTTTGGTTCAAAGTTGGGCAGTCTCAGCCCGGTGTTCAGAGCTAGCAGCCTCCTCCAGGAACAAAGCCCCACAGTCTGACACAGCCTCTCACCGGGTCCCAAAACTCACAGCGAAGGGAGGAGTTGTGAAGATGACGGCGTCAAGAACACCCGCTGCCTGCAGCCTTTAGAGAGCAGGCACTACCTCTTAGATCCCCCGTTGTCGGAGAGCCCCATTCCTTACATAAAGGCCTTTCAGCCTTCTCCAGGATGATTACACGGCAGACACAGGGATCTTTGTTACAGGTTCTCGGCCTGACTATGAAGATATCTATTTAAAAAAATGACTGAAACTGCCATAATTTCAGATTTGCCTCACTCCCCAGACCAAACTGAACAATGCTGCCTTCACTCCAACCTCTGCTCTGTGGAGCACTTGATGGAAGTCAAGCTCCCTGATGAAAGGCAGTTTAACCTGCCAATGGCTAACATGGCTAAGCAAGAGAAGTGGAATTTCTGACATTTGATCCTATTGCTAAAACGGCAAAAACTGTTAAGATGACGTGGCTGTCACTGCAGTGGTGTTGAAGCCGCCTTTTCCTGGGTGATCGTGTAGGATGGTCTTCACCTGCTGGGAGGGCCATGACGAAGACCCCCAAGGTGAGCCATGGCTTGATCTCAGAAAGTGCCATCAAGTTAGGATGAAAGACACTGCTGAGAAAAACAGAAACAAGCAGGACCATTGGCACAACAGCTCAGGAACGTGAAAAGCCCGTCTACCCCTCACTCATCGACAGCAAACCAGAGGTGGTCGTGAATCTCAGAAACAACCTGATGCCCTAGTCGATTCAACAGCAACTACCTCGGGGGAAAAACCTTCAAATGTTCAGTTCAGCTGGAATCAAGAAGACACTTTTAGCACATGTTTCCATGAACACAGCCTCCAGGGGGTCCCGAACAAGAAAGGCCAACTGCTAATAACCAAGAACTCAGTACCCCAAAATTCTGTGGAAGGTGGTACAGAGTGTCAGTAGGTTAGTAAATATCTTAGTATACTACATCTCTAATTCACAAATCTGCTTAAAACAAACCAGCAAAAAACTGCTGCATCTCTGAAATCAAACCCGTACAATGCCAATCGCAGCCTCCTGTCCAGCCCCTCAGCCCGAGACGTCCTTGCCAGTCTATTACCAAAGAGAATTCACCGACTCCAGGGAGAGATCCAGCCGGCCTTACAGAGTTCTACCCACTGGACTTTAGGAGTCATTAGTTTCTCCAACTGACAAGAACCCAATGGCCACTGTCGTCCTGGAGCAGTCTGTGCAGGGGAAATCTAGGTCCCAGCAGAATGTAACTGCCACTCCAGCAGCCGTGCAACCCAGACGGACCGGAGTGCAGCTGGCTAACATCAAGTCCCCGAAGAGCACAGCAGCCCAGACCAGTCAAAGGAGGGTCACGCGCTCCACTGGCCAACCAGGCACTTAGGACACGAGCTGATCAACTACGGGAACCCCCACCCCAACCCGCCAGGGAGCCTGGGAATTAAGGAACTCCCTGCTCTGCAGTTTGCAATAAACACCTACTTTCCTTCAGCAGCCTGCTGTCAGTGATCGGGTACCTAGGCATCTGGTGAGCAGACCCGGCTTCGGCGTTCTACAGCAACACCTCTGAGCACTTCAGACTGATGACAATCTCCTTTTAATAGTTTTTAATTAATGATTTTCTGTCAGCTCCCTGCTTGTCGACCTGGGAAAGCAGTTGAGGATGGCCCAGAGCTTTGGAACCCTGCACCCATGTGGAAGACCTTGAAGAAGCTCCTGGCCCCTGGCTTCGGATCAGCTCAGCTCTGGCCACTTGGTAGTCAGTCAAAGTACTTGAAATATAGTTTGGAATAAAAATATATCATCAACTCTGTGAAATATACACCTGTCAATTTACCTAAATTTTCTAACATGCTTATATCACAATTCAGCAAAACCATTTCCCATATATTGTAATAAATATAAAGCGCTCTTATAAAGATCATTTATAAACTGTTCCACTATTGAATCTTTTAGTCTGTTTCAGATTAGCTCAAAAGGTCAAATAACTTTTTCACATTTGAAATGGCAACAAAATTAGTCTGAAAAAACTTACATAGTGCATCATACAAAATGAAATGTGCTCCTGTGTTTTGAGACATACGTACTGAAACAACTCTAAGTAGACTTTGTGTAAAAGAAAATAAAACAGAATCAGAATGGTCTTGACCTAAAAAAATGCAGTTAGTTTTTTTGCTTGAGTTTTTCTTTAACTACTAGCAGGAATCTGGAACAGATGCCCACCTGGCGCAGTGTCTCGGCTGCTCCCTGCCTTACCTGTTGAGAAATGTGCGCTCCCTGAACTGCTGAACCAGCTGGAGGTGCTGCCTCTGAAGCGTTACTCTTGTGGGAATCTTCCATAATCAACTGTAAGAGAAAAAAAGCCAGTTCAACTAAGGATGCTCGGACTGGGCTGGGTCACAGCACCCAATGCCTCCTGTATGAGACGTGGCTGCAGACAGAATCTACCCAGCAACTGCAACTACCAGTGTGTGCACTGGCTGATGTGGGTGACTGACTGGGCCAGACCCCGTACTGACAAGCCCACACAAGAGTCAGGCGTGGGATCACTTCAGGTGAGGTTTCTCTGGGGATCCCCGCAACTGAACCACTGGACTCAGAACTCCAACCATGGGGAGAATTGCCGGATGTGTGGTCTGATCGTGGAGTACGTGTGTCAGAACTGGGCCTCCGCATGCCCACATGCACATGGAGAACACGGCAGCCCGTTAGATCTGCAGAGGGCACCTAGTGCCAGCACAGAGGAAGGACAGAAAAACTGGCCAACTACCCCAGCCAATCATTGACAGCAAATGGAGACTCTGAGGTGGACTATGTCAGCCAATGGAAGGATTTCCTCATCCTGGGAACGAGATGGACAACATTTCAGAATTATTGAGACCACTTGAGCAGAACCCTCGGAGCACGCCCCACAGGGAGGACCCTGGGAGACAGCAGGTGGCCACTTCCCTCCCCAGGTTCTAGGGAGGCTGGGAGGCTGGGTGCAATTCCCCCCATATCCCTCCTACCCCAGGCAAAGGAAGAAGAAAAAGAAAATTGGGAAACCATGATCTCACCCACTTTCCCCTAATCCTAAACCCTTTCCACTATAATCAACTATGTAAACATCATCAAAAATAAATTTATACAAAGCTAAAAAAAATAAAGATTATTTCCTAAATAAATAAATAAAACAAAGGTGCTCAGAATAGGAACAGAGCTGGCAGTCACACTGTAGACTCCTGGCATCTCATTTAAAAATCTGACCCATAAAAACATGTTTAGGGACTGGTACAGTAGCCTAGTAGATAAAGTCCTCTCACCTGGTACCCTTAGGATCCCATGAGTGCCAGTTCTTTTTTTTTTTTTTAATTTTTTAAAAAATTTACTTATTTTCATTGCAAAGTCAAATATATAGAGAGGAGGAGAGACAGAGAGGAAAATCTTCCGTCTGATGATTCACTCCCCAAGTGACTGCAACAGCCAGTGCTGAGCCAATCCAAAGCCAGGAGCCAGGAGCCTTTTCCAGGTCTCCCACACAGGTGCAGGGTTCCAAGGCTTTGGGTCATCCCCAACTGCTTTCCCAGGCCACAAACAGGGAGCTGGATGGGAAGTGGAGTTGCCGGGATTAGAACCAGCGCCCATATGGTATCCCAGCGTGTTTAAGGTGAGGACTTTAGCCACTAGGCCATGGCGCCAGGCCCAGGAGCCAGTTCTAATCCCTGCTGTTCCACTTCCCTTTCAGGTCCCTGCCTATGGCCTAGGAAGGCAGTAGAGGACAGCCCAAAGCCATGGGACCCTGCACCCGCACGGGAGACCTGGTCGCTGGGTTTGGATCGGCTCAGCTCCAGCCGTGCAGCCACTCAGGGAGTGAACCAGCAGACAGAAGATCTTTCTGTTTCTTCTTCTCCTCCATGTGTATCTGCCTTTCCAATTAAGTAAATAAATAAATAAAGCTTTTTGTTTAAATGTAATAAATGGCACATATACAAATTACTGCAGTTAATTTAAAATATCACTCCACTCAACAGGTGTGACAATATTCCTAGACACAAACATTTCCTTTCTGTGATTTAGAGAACAGCTTTTAATTGTACAGTTTGTCATAGAGGATTTACTGAGTAAAAGCTGAACAAACACATAAAACCCTATCTGTGAGGTTTTCCTGATACCAATGATCAAATGCGGAATATGTAGACCGAGGGCAGGCTGCCATCCCATATGGTGCCACTTCAAGTCCTGCCTGCTCCCAGCTCTGACCCAGCTCCCCACTCACGTGCCTAGAAAACCAGCAAAAGCAGCCAAGCAGCCCCACCCCACAGAGGAGCTGACAGAACCTGCCCCCCAGCCACTGCTGCCACGTGGGGGGGAACGCCAGCGGGGACAAGATCTCTCTCCCTCTAATGCTCTCTGATCCCTCTTCCCAACTCTGCCTTCCAAATCAACACAATTTTTTTAAATGTTCGCGATTCACAATTAGGAACTGCAAACAAGAACCACAATGACGAATCCCCTCATATCCGTTCACACAGCTGATAAGGGACCCCCATCTGCAATGCTAGCAACCCACACATTACCAGTTCAAACTCTGGCTGCTCCACTTCTAATCCAGCAACCTGCTTGTGTGCCTGGGAAAGCAGTGGACAGCCCAAGGCCTTCGAACCCTGTATCCTTACTGGAGACCCAGAAGTTGTTCCCAGTTCTGGTCATTGCCATCTGGATAGTAAACCAACAGATGGAAGATCTCCCTCCCTCTGTCTGTGTGTACCCTGCCTTTCAAATAAGTAAATAGGGGCCCAGCACGGTAGCCTAGCGGCTAAAGTCCTCACCTTGCACATACAAGGATGCCATATGGATGCTAGTTCTAATCCCGGCATCCCTGCTTCCCATCCAGCTCCCTGCTTGTGGCCTGAGAAGTCAGTCAAGGATGGCCCAAAGCCTTGGGACCCTGCACCCACATGGGAGACCTGGAAAAGGCTCCAGGCTCCTGGCTTCAGATCAGTTCAGCCCAGGCCATTGCAGCCGCTTGGGGAGTAAGTTAGTGGACAGATGATCTTTCTTTGTAGCTCTCCTCCTCTATATAAATCTGACTTTGCAATAAAAATAAATAAATCTTAACAAAATAAATAAGCAAATAAACCTTTTTTTAAATCAAAATACAGAAAGTAATTGTTGGCAAGACTGTGGAGTCATTAGAACCCTTATATACTACTGTATTCTCAGCTGCTACAGAGCAGAGAATGGCAGGTCTGCATTTGGTTTAGTACGTCCATCAGAGCTCCTGGGTTCAAATCCCAACTCTAGCTCCTGACTGCAGCTTCCTGCTAATCTAGACTCCAACAGGCAGCAGCGATGCACCAAGTGAACGGGTCCCTGCCCTCATGCAAGGAGGGCTGAGTCCCTCGTGGCTCCTGGTTCTGACTACAGCCCAGCCTTCGCCACTGTGAGCATCTGAGAAGTGAACCAGGACAAGGGAGATCTCTCTGTGTATCTGTTTCTTTAAGAAAAAAAAAAAAAAAAACTATGAAATGATATCAAATGATCCTATCATTTCACTTTTGGTAGTATACATCCCAAGAGACTAAAGTACAGGTCTGAGAGAGACCACCAGTTGCACATTCACAGACCAGTCACAACCGCCAGGAGGTAAGGGCAACCTGATTGTTCACACACAGATGAAGTTGGACTTCAGCTGGCACACACAGCAGAAGCCGACACTGTCCTGGGGCAGGCACGAGGGGCCGGGTGCGGAGCTCCACAGGACACCGCGGGCTGCACCAGGACACCACGGCCTGCACCACAGTGCCTGCACCAGGACACCGCAGTGCCTGCACCAGGACACCGCGGCCTGCACTAGGACACCGCGGTCTGTACCACAGTGCCTGCACCAGGACACCACGGCCTGCACCAGGACACCGCGGCCTGCACCAGGACACCGCGGCCTGCACCAGGACACCACAGCCTGCACCATAGTGCCTGCACCAGGACACCGCAGCCCGCACTAGGACACCGCGGCCTGCACCAGGACACCACAGCCTGCACCAGGACACCGCGGCCTGCACCAGGACACTGCGGCCTGCACCAGGACACTGCGGCCTGCACCAGGACACCGCAGCCTGCACCAGGACACCACAGCCTGCACCAGGACACTGCGGCCTGCACCAGGACACTGCGGCCTGCACCACAGTGCCTGCACCAGGACTCCGCAGCCTGCACCAGGACACCACAGCCTGCACCAGGACACTGCGGCCTGCACCAGGACACTGCGGCCTGCACCAGGACACCGCGGGCTGCACCAGGACACCACAGCCTACACCATAGTGCCTGCACCAGAACACCACAGCCTGCACCATAGTGCCTGCACCAGGACACCACAGCCTGCACCATAGTGCCTGCACCAGGACACCACAGCCTGCACCACAGTGCCTGCACCAGGATACCGCAGCCTGCACCAGGACACCATAGCCTGCACCACAGTGCCTGCACCAGGACACTGCAGCCTGCACCAGGACACCGCAGCCTGCACCACAGTGCCTGCACCAGGACACCACGGCCTGCACCACAGTGCCTGCACCACAGTGCCTGCACCAGGACACCACAGCCTGCACCACAGTGCCTGCACCAGGATACCGCAGCCTGCACCAGGACACCGCAGTGCCTGCACCACACAGTGCCTGCACCAGGACACCGCGGCCTGCACCACACAGTGCCTGCACCAGGACACCGCGGCCTGCACCAGGACACCGCGGCCTGCACCAGGACACCGCGACCTGCACCACAGTGCCTACATCTGGCTGGCTCTGCTTCCTACTCCAGCTTCCGGCTCACGTGCGCCCTGGGAAGCAGCAAGGTTGGCTCACGCACTTGGGTCCCTGCACTCACATGGGAGACCTGGAAGGAGTTTCTGGCTCCTGGCCTGAGGCGGAAACTCCTCAACCCCAACTATCACAAGCAGTTAGGAAGTGAACACAGTTTTCTTGTTTTTTCCCTTTGTCTCTTTCCCTTCAAATTAGCTAAAATACATAAGCAAATACATGTTTTTTATTCTAAGCCAGTTACCTAAACACAGCAATGGGACCGGAGTTGTAGCACAGCACGCTGAGGTGCTGACCGCGTCCTGGCTGCTCCACCTGGGATCCAGCCTCACTCACGGATCTAGGAGGGCCAAAAGGATGCCCTAAGTGTTTGTGCCTCTGCACCCACGTGACAGACGCAGACGAAGCTGCTGGGTCCCACCTGGCCCCGGTGAACAACTCTAAAATCAATGCCTGTAACTCTACATTTCAAATAAATCATGTTTTTTTAAAAAAATAATAATAAAAGGTAAAGGCTTTATGATTCTACTTATACAAGGTGTTTAGCCAACTCAAAACAGAAAGGAGAATTCAACGCCAGGGGAATGAGGGTGAGGGAAAGGCAGAGGTGTTTTTCAACAGACATAAGACAGCTCTGGGACGACTTGCACAAGATGAATGTATGAAAATGACTGAACTTGTACATTTAAAAATGGTGAAGACCTGGGCCCGGCGCCATGGCTAGTGGCTAAAGTCCTTGCCTTGGATGCGCTGGGATCCCATATGGGCGCTGGTTCTAATCCTGGCAGCCCCGCTTCCCATCCAGCTCCCTGCTTGTGACCTGGGAAAGCAGTCGAGGACGGCCCAAAGCCTTGGGACCCTGCACCTGTGTGCAGAAGAGCCAGAAGAGGCTCCTGGCTCCTGGCTTCGGATCGGCTCAGCTCCAGCCATTGCAGTCACTTGGGGAGTGAATCATCAGACGGAACATCTTCCTCTCTGTCTCTCCTCCTCTCTGTATATCTGCCTTTCCAATAAAAATAAACCTTTAAAATAAATAAACATTTTAAAAAATTCTGCCTTTCAAATAAAAATAAATAAACCTTTAATTTAAAATATTCCAGACCGCAACTAGGTACATACTCCTTAGCATCACTGACTTGATAATTGAAGTTTAACCTTACATGTTCATTCCTTTTTTTTCTTAGAAAGCAAAAAAGTATTTATTTAAAGTCAGAGGAAGAGCCACACAGAGGCCCACAGATCCCCTCCTAAAACGGCCACAAGGCAGGAGCGCAGCCAGTCCACAGCCGGGAGCTTCTCACTGGTCTCTCTCATAGATGCAGAGCCCCAAGCACTTGGACCATCTTCCATTGCTTTCCCAGGTGCGTCAGCAGGGAGCTGGATTAGAAGTGGTGCAACCATGATCCCACTGGCACCCACAATGGTGATGCCGCAGCGCAGGCCCCCTCACAATTTCATGGTTCACATAGGACTGAAATTGCTACAGCTCCCGAGAGATGACAGCGAGCGAGTCTTTAGCGCATGTCCACACCCCCTGTACGATGTCCACACCCCTTGTCAGACTGTCTTGTCTGAATGCTGGCTCTGCTTCCAATGCCACCTTCCAGCCAACGCACACCGGGAGGCAGCAGCTAACGACCCAGGTGTTAGGCCACCAAGCTGGGAGCTGCAATCTGAGTTCTTTGCTCCTAACTTTGGCCTGGCATCGATTCTGTAATTGCAGACATTTGAAGAATGCATCAGCAAATACATCTCTGCCTGAAAAAGAAAACAAAAATTAAGAAGAAAAAAGGGGAGACGGGGGGAGCAGGTGTTATGGCAAGTAATACAGCTGCCTGAAAAACCCGCATCCCCGCCAAGTGTTCATTCAAGCCCTAGCTGCTCTGTTTCTCCTCTCGCTCCCCGCTAACACACCTGGGAAACAGCAGACATCGGGAGACGCACCTGAGCCCTTGCCACGCAGGTGGAAGACCTGGTTTCTAACCTGGCCTGGCTGCAGTCCTGACTGTGACAGTCAAGCAGCGGACACACCTCCCAGGGCCAGGGCTGTGACAGGGTAAGATAGGTCACTAGCTGAAGAGCCAGCAGCCCAGGAGTGCCAGCCTGCGTTCCCACAGCGTCACTTCCAATCCAGCTCCCTACTAACGTGCCTGGAGGAGCAGCCAAAGATGCCTCCAAGGACTTGGCTCACACCACCCTTTGGAGAGGCCCAGAGTTCCTGGCTTCTGCCTTGAATCTGGTCTAGTGGTGGCCACTGTGGCCATTTGGGGAGTCAACCAGCCCCAGCCCTGAAACTCCACCAAATGCGTACATCTACCAAAAACATTCTATTTACCTGAGTGACAGACAAGGAGAGACAAAGAGCTCTTCCACCTACTGGTTCACTCCCTGGCTGCTATGCTGCTTCATCTCCAATCCAGCTTCCTGCTCTGGTGCCTGGGAAGGCCGCAGCACACGGTCCCAGTCCCAGCCCTGCGTGCACATGGGAGTGTTAGCTAGAGTCCTAACTATGCTTCCAATTCAATGTCCTGCTAATCAGCTGGGGAAAAAGGATGATGGCCCAAGGATCGGAATCCCTATCACCCTTCAAAACCCTGCCTTGCGCTCCCAGCTCCTGCCTTCAGCACTGCCAGGCGTTTGCAGCATGAACCACAGCTCAGAGCCCTTCGAGCTGGCATCCTAACGTAGCAAGTGAAACTGCCATCTACAATGCCAGCATCCCACTTGGGTGCTAGTTTGTGTCTTGGCCTGCTCCACTTCTGATCCAGCTCCCTGTTGACCACCTGGGAGCGGCAACAGGAAACAGCCCGAAAGTTTGAGGCCCCGCTCCCACAGGCAAGCCCCATAAGAGTTCCTGGCCCCTGGCCTCAAGCCTGGCCCAGCCCCAGCCACTATGACCATCCAGGGAGGGAACCAGTGGACGGGACATCACTATCTCTCCTCCCCTCTCACCCTGCCTTTCAAATAAATTTAAAAAATAAACCTCGGAGGGTCCGCAGTGGTACTCTAGTAGCTGAAGTCCTTGCTTTGCATCCACCAGGATCCCATATGGGTGCCAGTTCGAGTCCTGGCTGCTCCACTTCCAGCTCCCTATCTGTGGCCTAGAAAAGCAGTTGAGGATGGCCCAAAGCCTTGGGACCCTGCACCCACATGGGAGACCTGGAAGAGGCTCCTGGCTTTTGGCTTCAAATCAGCTCAGCTCCAACTGTTGTGGCTACTTGGGAAGTGAACCAGAGGATAGAAGATCTTCCTCTCTGTCTCTCCTTCTCTCTAGAAATCTGCCTTTCCAATATAAATAAATATTAAAAAAAAAAAAAACTTCTAAAAATAAACTTTGGGGTGAAAGAACTGAACAGACATTTTTCAAAAGAAGAGATTCAAATGGCTAACAGACAGATGAAAAGATGCTCAGGCTCCCTAGGCATCAGGGAGATACAAATGAAAACCACATTGAGGTACCACCTAACTCCAGCGAGACAGGCATACATATACATTCAGAACTGTACTAACAACACCTGCTGGCGTGGATGTGGGGAGAAAGGCACCCTCCTTCACTGCTGGTGGGAGTGCAGGCTGGTGCAACCACTGTGGAAATCAGTGTGGAGCGTGCTTGGAGAATTGCAAATAAATCCGCCATATGTTCCTGCTATCCCACTCCTAGGAATACACTCAAAGGAAATACAAACTGCTTCTGAGCAGGGTAAATCCTATATTTACAGCAGCTCAATCTACAATAGCAAAGACATGGAAACCCAGCTACCTGTCCAAAGAGGAGTGATTAAAGAAACTGTGGTACATGTATTGCACGGAATATTACTCAGCCATTAAAAAGAATGAAATTATACCATTTGCAACTAGATGATCCTAACTAGAGATCATTTGGTTCAGTAAAATAAGTCAATCCCAAAAGGACAGATACCATATGTTGTGTCTGATTTGAGGCAGCCTTCGTGCAGACTGTAAGATCAGTAACCCTTTCCATACTGTTTTTGCTACATCCCATGGGTTTTGACGCTTTTGTTTTCATTTTCTTTTTTTCCAAACAGTTTCTTTCATGTTGTTGAATTCAGAACTAGCTCATGGATTGCATGGTGGCATCATTTTATCCCAGGCCCAATGGAATTGTACCATATAATTCAAAATAAACTTCGGAATAAAAATATAATAAAAGGCGAAAGATATGAATGCAAGGGGCCTGCAGCCAAAACTAGTTTAATCCAAGGTCCTGTTTTTTCCCTTCCACGCTGCCCCCTCTTCCAGGAACACCCTCACATTTAGTTTTCACCCTGCTCCAGGCCCCTCCTTCCTTAATGCTTCCATGCGGCTTACACATATTTCTAACGCGGCTACTTCAAACCTGTGCAACGCAATGTCTGCTTCCCTCAGTTCTGAGCCCCTCCAGTACATCATGTGGCCCACGGGAAACTTCAACAAACCAAGCACACGGCTGCATCTACCCCAGGTGAGCACAGCTTTAATCCCCATGGCAGACCTGAGGGTTGGCCGTTCCCACCCGCCGTCAAAACCACTCTATCAGTGACAATCCCATCCTCACATATCCCCGCCCGGCTTTCGCTCTTCCTCGGCTTGCCCTGCAGGGGTCCCGAGGTTGCTTTGGCAAACTCCCCCGAGTGCCCCAGCCTTGCACAAGGCCTGGATCCCGTTGCCCTCCGCTCGCCACCCCTGTCACAGCCTCATCGCTGCAGCTCCCCACCGGGACACAGCCCCTTCCCCGGACCCAACGCCCCCCAGCTGCGGCTTCTACTTCTCCCACGCCTGCTTAACAGCGACGTGCGACAGAGGGACTCCTGCACCCTACAACTTCAGACACGGGGCAAAGGAAGAAAAAATCCGGTCCTTGGCAAGCACGGGGTGCCCGGGCCGGCTCGGCGGGGCCTGCCGCCTGCCGGCCACGCGCGGCCCTGCACGGACCGACGCCATCCCGGGCGTCCGCGCGGAGACCGGGGCCCCCCAAAGCAGGCGGGAGGGCCCGGCGCAGCGACGCCCGCCCGCTCCCCGCCGTCAGCCCGAGCCGCGAAGCCGCGGACCTCCCCTCGGCCGACCGGGCCGGCGCCGCGCCGGGAGCCGGGACGACCCGCACGACCGGCACGGACGTTCGAACGTTCGACGACCGGAAGCGCCGCGGCCGCGGGGAGCGCCCGGCAGCCCCGCCCCCTTCCGCCGCGCCCCTCCCCCACGGCCGCCCGCGCGCGACCCCCGGGCGGGCGAGCAGGACGCGCGGCCCGGCGTGTCCCCCGCGGCCGGGGCCGCCCCCACTCACCCGCGGCTGCCGCCTCGTCGTCGTCCGGGGCGGGAACTCTGCAACTGGCCGCCCCCGCCTCCCTCCCAGATGGCCCCGAGCTGCCGGCCCACTTCCTCCCCCACCCCGTGCGGCGGCAGGGAGACGCGCCTCCCGGTCCGAGGGTGGGTCGGGCGGGGCGGGGAGCAGCGGCGTCACCGAGCGGCCGACCGGCCCGGACTGCTGTGTACTCGGCACTCAGGGCCGCCGCCGCTCGGGCGGCATGATCTCCAGCAGGCCGGGGGCGGAGCGGGCGGGGCGGGCGGGGCGGGGCTCCGTGCGGCCCGCCGTGTGCGTCAGCGCGCCTCACGTGACGCACGCCGCCATCTTGGGCCCGCCTCCCGGAGGGGCGTGGCCGGGGTGCGCGTCCGGGAGCCTGAGGCGGTCGCGGCTTGTCCGCCCGTTCCTCGCCCGGGAGCCTAGGTGGACGCGGCTTGTCCGTTCCCGGAGCCTGAGGTGGACGCGGCTTGTCCGCTCCCGGATCCTGAGGTGGACGCGGTTTGTGCACTCCTATCGCTCCTGGAGTCTGCGATGGACGCGGCTTGCCCGCCCGTTCCTCGCCCGGGAGCCTGAGGTGGACGCGGCTATCGCTCCCCGAGCCTGAGATGGACGCGCCTTGTCCGCTCCTTGCTCGCCTGCTGGCCGTCACCCACACCTGTCCCAGAGCGGTGGACTGTCCGACCCACCCCCAGCCGAGATGTTGACAGGTATTTTTATAACGCTACAAAAGCGAATCAGTGCCCATTTCTGAAGTTTTTATCCATTGCCTTGCCAAACGGTAGGTATAGCACCGTACTGATAGCGAGTGATAATCAACTTTTCTAGAACACGCAACGAAAAGTTCTAGGATTTTTCTGGAAACATCCCCAGTATCAGAAACACTGTGGAGCCCTCCTGCCGCCCTCTCCGCCCCCATTAAACACTTATTACTGAGAACGATGTGGACGATTAGAAAGCAAAAGTTTTTAAAACAATGGCTGTAACTTGTACTTTAAATATTCAGAAGGATGCAAGTAGAATTTAGAGAATGTCTAAAATATTAATTTTAATATTTGATTTGGAAAAGCAATGTTTTCACTATTAACTGTTGGAGGCAGTTATGTTTTTTTATTGTATTTTTGATAATCTTTACATAGTTAATTAGAGTAAAAAGGTTCAAGGACTATAGGAAAGTGGGTAAGACTATTATTTCCATATTGTTTCCTTCATGTATCTGAGGCAAAGGGGGATATTAAGGGAGAAGCCCCACCCAGTTTCCCACCCACCCCAGGCCCCCGATGTGGGGCATGCTCCGAGGGTCTTGCTCAAGTGGTTTTGCTAGTTCCCCAGTTATGAATGAGGTCGTGGAAGAATCCACTGATTGACATAGTCCATCATAGTCTCCGTTTGCCCAATGTCTCACTGCCAACATATAGCTGAGGTGGTTGATTGACTTGTTCTGTCTTCTGTCTTTTCTTGGTTAGGGTTCTGAGTCCAGCATTTGGATTGGGGAGATCCCCAGAGAAACTTTATCTGAGGTGTTCCCAGACCAGATTCTTGTATGTACTAGCACGTACAGGGCCCGGCACAGTCCATCGCCCCAATCAGCTGGTGGTTGCAATTGCTGGGTCACTTCTGTTTTCAGCCCTGTCTTCCACTGGAACCAATGGGTGTTGCAGTCCAGCCTGGTTATGCCCAGCACACACTCGGCCCTCACATAAACCAGTGGGAGCTGCAGCCTAGATGGAGCAACCCACAATAACCCCCACCAGGCCCACCCCCTACCCTGGTTTGCCAGTATGTGTATCAGTAGTCCAGTCTGTCCCACATCCCATTTGGCTCTCGTACATGTCAGTGGGTATTGAAGCTTAGTTCCATCTAATCAGCTCAAGTATCCAGCCCTCACGGATGTTGTTGAGTGATTCTGACTAGCCACCCCAGTCCCTGTCCTAGTTTTTGTGCCCTCCCGTGGAAGTGGTAACCCAAGAGGGAGGAACCCACTATTTCCCTCCTGGGCCACTCCCACTCCCGGATTATGCACTCTCCAGGTGGTTCTGTGGTTTGACTTGACAGAATTAGACCCCAGTGCCAGCATCTGCCAGCTGATGCTGCGGCAAAGCCCAAACAGCTCTCACCCACTTTAATTTTGTTTGCACCAGTAGGAATAATCAGCCCAGCCTGGCTTTCCCCTTATCCAGCTCACATGAGGCGCACAGGTGTTGTAGCCCTACTTAGTCTGGTCTGCCCCCATCCCAGCCCACACTCTCCAGTGGGAGTAGCTGTCCAGCAGGGAAACCACCCCTTATTCCCCTGCCGGCTCTGCCCCCTCCCTTCCTGGTTCTCACATGTGCTGTTTGGGCACTGCGGTCACATCCTGTACAGGCAACCTCAGCTTGGCATTCTGTATTGTGCACTGGTTTTTGTTGCGACCAAACCTGGCTCGATCCACACTCTGTCTGGTGCTCAGATTTGCCAGTGGGTGATGTGAACTGATTCAGCCTGGTCTTCCCCCAATCCATGCCAAATGTATGCCAGTGGGAAACTTTCCATGGCCTGTTCTGAGCTGTTTCCTATCATGTTTTTTGCGCTTACCTGCCAGGTCTGTGTCCTGCCAGGGGAGTTGCCCAGGCTCCTCCATCAGAACCTCTCCCAATGCCAGATTTAGCACATACCAGGGGGACCATGAGCCAGCCCTACTCAGTTAACCTCCTGTCCTAGCAGGAACAGTGGCCTTTCCTGACTGGCCTTCAACCCAATCTGGTTCTTACTGTTGGATGTTTTAGCCCAGCCACGGCTCGTCCATACCCACATACAGCTCACACATGGCTCAGTAGGGGCTGACACCTAGCCTAGTCTGTCCCACATCTACCCTGGTCCTCCAGGACACCAGATGGTGTTGGAGTCTGGCCCAGCTTGGTGCGTCCAGTCCCAGTCCACACTTGTGCCAAGGGAGACTACAACTGTATCCTGATCAGAATCCAGTCCCCATTCCAGCCCATGCGCCCCTTGGTGGAAACCTCAACCCAGCTAGGGTGTCCCCTTAGCTCCCCAACTGGGCCTGTTCCCAGCCATAGATCACGTGCATGCCAGTGGTTGCTCTGACTCAGCTTGGCTCAGCCCCTCACCTATCACAACCTCTGCCTTAGACACTGTGGCTTAGCGTCCCTGGCTCACACAGACCAGTAGGTGCAAGAGCCTAGCTCAGCATGACCTGTGCTCCATCCCGGTTTCTAGTTTTGCTTGTGAGCTAAGGTTTGCTCAGACCTGCCCGTACACCCCGTTCCATTACCAATTGACACATTAGCCAGCTGTTGGAGCTTGTCCAACCTCCAGGTCTGGACCACATGTTCACCAGTGGGAGTTATGACTCACCAGAGGAGTTTCCCAACTTCCTCCACTTGATCCACTCCCAGACCCAGTTCTCATACATTAGGTTTTAGGCCAGTGCCTGGCGTCGTCTGGCCTTCCATTTGGCCTTGTATGAGCTGGTGAATGTTGTAGCCCGGCCCACCCTACACCCTATTCAGGATGCACATTCAGGTGCTGCTGCCTTGACCAGTCCAGACTGTTGCCGACTCCTTTACCTGTGATTGATGGCAGGCTCCTTGGTCACACCTAGCTTAGTCCATCACCACCCCAACTCTTGAGCTAACCAGTGGGGCTAGAATTCCCACAGGGTTTGGCCCACACATCCCCCACAGAATCTACCCCTGGATATGGTTCTTGAGTGCTAGTTAATGTCATGTCCCTGCCTAATGTGACCCGTCTCCTGATCCATCATCATGTCAGGTAATAGGATATGATCCTGCTGTACAGGCCCCAAGCTTTAGCTTTTGCATGGACTGGTGTTTGGTGGTCAGCATTGTTCAGTGATTACAAGTTCTTCAAAGGAAGAGTTACTGACATTGGGAATCTTTAGGATTGATTCACATCCCAGAAGCACAGTGGGTTCAACTTAGAGCTATATAAGCAGTGATTCAGAGAACCAAAACCCCAGAGCTTCCCAGCCGGGCGGCCAGCAGGCTGAGCCTGGTATCAAATGGTGGACTGGCTGCCCAGGGACAGCTCACCACGTGCACATGGCGGCTGTGGCCTGGGATCCAAGGATAGAGACGCCCTGGCCTGAGACCCACCCGCAGCTGAGAGGCTACAGGAAGTTTAAACTCCCAGGCCCAAGGTCACGCCCCCTCCCCAATCCCATCCACCACTCAATGAGTGCGGTGGGTGGGCCCCTGGTCTGCCCAGCCCTGGAGACTTCCCCCTCGGGGTACTCACTACACCCCAAGGGAGCAGGCCCTGGAGCCTAGGCAGGTCAGGGGACAGCTCACCACGTGCACGTGGTGGCTGGATTCAGGTTCCCAAGCATAGAGACGCCCCGGCCTGAGCCCACCAGGAGGCAGTTATCTTTTACGAAGCCTGTGTGAGGAGTCAGGCAGTTAAGGCTTCTGCTCCATGGTGAAGTTACTTTTTAAAAATACAAATTGTATTTCTCCCCCACTTCTTTGCTTGAGGAAGGCCTGAGAGGGCAGAATCAATGTATTAATTCGCTATCTCAAGAGTTGTAACAAAACCAAGGAGAAGTGACCCACCTAATCACTGGGCCACTGTTAAAGACTTGGAGCCAGCTTATCGTTAGACTGGTAGGGGCAAGTTAACCAGCCCACCCTTCTGAGGTTCTTCTGCTTCAGAATCAGGTGCTAATGTGAACAATTTTTTTTCTTCGAGTAACTCCCCTGAGATGGACCATAAAAGACAACATCTACAGTATTACCTTAGTTTTTTCTTCCTCAGCCATGAAACCCCCCTCTTGCCACAATGGCCAGAGACTTTTTCCCATTTTTTTTCCCCCTAAATAAATCCTGCTTTGCTAACTGGAATTGCCTGCAAGAAAATTCTTTTTTCATGTGAGACAAGAAACGAGGTTGCTGGCGTGTTTCGCATCGAACACCTGACGAAGCCCACACACATGCCAAGAGTAGGCAATCTTCTGGGAGATGCCATGAACAGTAAGGAAAGCTCGGGATGATCATAGACAAAGCTTGCTGCCAGCATTGCTTTATTGAGCCTCTTACATTTCCACATGCAGTATGGTGACCCACAGCAACAGTTACAGCTCAAACACGAAGCTTCCACAACCTGTTCAGGTCTAGGTTTGGGGCCAAATGTCCTAGCTTCTCAACTTTTTACTTAAAAAGCATATTAAGCACACTTCCTCCCTGTCTCTCTG